TTGGGCCAGCCAAGGACTGTTAAAATTCTGTTAAAATTCAGTTTTTTAGCCTTGTGTGCAAATGCCTTTAGATATATGATACACCTAAATCTCCCCTTGCTGGATTCCAGCCAATAAGACAAAAAGACATGAAATTCTGGTATGAGTCAAGAGTTTAGCATTAGAGAATTTAACAAAGCAAAACAAACCTAAAATCATAATAAAATAATTAAAATTTATGCCTCACATACTTTGTGAAAGTATTTTAGAGACCCAGTATTGCACAGAAAGTTCTGTAACTGACAGATTTGGAAATTAATGTTGGTGTCATTTCTGATTTCATCTGATTTCATTAGAGCTGTCAATTTTCATGGATGATGTGACTTCATAATATGGTTGTTTTCATGAAGTATTGAAAGTGCCTCATTTATTTCTTTTTATATGTGGAAGCAACTGGTCCAACTGTAAATTAAAGCCACTAGAATTCTATACTATGAGGACTGCATCTTACTTAAGGCATGTTGCAAATATTATGGTCTTGTTTTTTTCTTTTGCAGAAAAATGAACAAAGCACTAGCTCAGCACCACAACAGTCAGTGGAATGGGGAAAAGAACCTTGATCCAATATTCTTCACATTAATTTCCTCATGCCCCAATACAACAAAGTGAATCTGGACAGATTTAGTCATTTTTCATATCTTAACAGTTCTTCTTTTCTGATGGCTCATTGTTCTTTGCGTTTCAACTGACATACCAAACCAGAGATTATGATTTCTAAGCATTCTCTCCTACTATGAGCTTTTTCTCTCTTTAACTTTAGAACAGTGGAGAGAGATTGCCTATATCACCAGGGTTGGGAATCAACTACATCCCCCATATGTGTAAATAATAACTATCTGCTTCCTTTTGACAGAGGGCTTAAGCCAAGTTATCGTGTTTAAGAAAAATCTTAGGATGGGTGATGCATAATTAAGGACAGATAAGGAGCATGGGGGTACGTATCTCAACTTCAGAGGCCAGTCCCTTCAGCAACTCGACCAGTCAGTTGTGGTTTGCCAAGGCCAACATGCAGTTTGTGAGTCTATTAGAAGACAGACTATTTTCCAGTCCAGGATTCAACTATTGCAAGTATCAAGTGATTACTTGCTTTACTTTTCACACACACCATATTGCCCTTATAACAGGGCTTTTATAAGATTATGTATAGGAATTGCTGGAAATGTATAAAATAATAACTTGGCATTATCCTCATCATCATCATTGAATTTTCCATGATGTTTAAGATTAAAGCATATGATTCAAGTGGCAATTAGGTTGATGTTGAAGTGATTGTCTGATGAAAACTTAACCAGCAGGCAGAGCATGTGGTGAAGGAATCAGAAGACTCACTAAGAGCTCTCTATTGCAATATGAATAGATGATCAAATCCACACTCCAACATACTGCACCCTAACACCCTTAACACATCTAATTTTATCTGATTTCATCAGCTAAACAGGGTCAGACCTAGTTAGTACTTGATTGGGAGACCATTAAGGAATATCAGGGATTTCTGGGTAGAACTAAGAAAAAAATTATACCTGAAACCCTGGAGATCTACTGCTAGTCAGAGTTGATCAAGCAGAGATAGATGTACCAATGGGCTGAATCATGCTGGTAAGGTATGCATAAGGCAGCTTTCAATGTTCTTCATATATTGAAAATGCCAAGTAAATCACTTTTAAAGGATGACACACTTCAGTTTTTTAGGGTGTGAACCAAAGAAGAAGGGAAGACCAAAAGGAAGTGGTGGGGACAATCCTGTTTTTTGCTTGCATTCCTGCTTAGATCTGATTATGTGTTAGGAGTTTCTAAATCTTTCATCATTCTTTCCCAATCGGGTACTGATCAAATGTATTAGACTAGATATCCTGTCATGTGTGGCTAATACAGCCATGTCTTCTGGTTGGAGTGATGGGGAATGTGGTCTGACTCCTCTGAGTTAGCATGGTTGCCATATATATGATGCAAATTCTTCAGTTCATCACAGTATACAATTATTGGGTAATGTTAGAAAGACATATAAATATACTTTCTACATAGCTTTTTTCGTAGCTTAAACCAGTTCAGACCAAGTAATGACCAAATATCTGTCCTAAGGTTTCATTTTAAGCAGTTCTGCCCCTTTCCCCATATGGCCATTAACATATTGCTGGAATGTGGGGGCGAGGGGTGAATTGGGAAGTGTACAGTTTTCCCCCCTGTAGCTGGATGTGCTGTGGCAGGCATCTGCAGGTCCAACTACAGGAGAAATGCTGTTAGGAGACAACCAGATCTGTACAACACCCCTCCTGAGATGTACATGTGTATGCTCAAAAATGGAAGACTCTTGTCTAGGAAGGCAAAGGTTAACTGGGAAAGGCCTCTCATGGTCAAATCTTGTATCCATCACCTCTGCTAAACTCCATTATCCATCATCACCAAGTTTACTTAAGCTTCCTAATTAAACAACCAAAATACTGAGTATCCTCCCCAAACAAGGTTCTACCTCTACCAGCATGTGGCATTATGGACAAGAAATGACACTGATAGGAAATGTCACCTTTGGGGCAAGAGTGGTTGACATCTGTAATGCCTTTCTTAAATGGCTGCTTGTCTGAACCATTACCATCTAGGCCAGGGGTAGGCAACCTTTCCCCTTTAAGGGCCGAGGGACTTCAGCTCCCAGAATCCCAGGAGCTATTGGCCAACATGGGACTATTGGCCAACATGGCTGAGGCTTCTGGGAGCTGAAGTCCCTCGGCCCTTAAAGGGGAAAGGTTGCCTACCCCTGATCTAGGCTAACCTACATATTGTGCCTCAGAAAGTCAAGGTGGACACTTTTGTTTAAAGAAGCCCCTTTGTTTTAGTGAAATTCTAATGTCATACATAGGCCTGAGATACTTTTTAAAAAGTGATCTATTCTGGTGTGGAGTCTACTAGAATAAAAAGTTGAGCTGTCTGCCTCTTCCTTGGAGGCCCCATTCTGAGCTGACATCTATTATTTTGGCTAGAGAATCTCATTAGTTTATTCTCTTTCTCAAACTCCCGGCTCTGATGTAGAGGACTTGGTTAGCTTGTCCTCCTTCCCCTGCATTGCTCCAGCCAGGAGGGCTCCTTAGCTCCTCGCAGATCCAAGCAGGACCAAAGGGAGGCAATATTTTAAATCTCTCTTTTGGGAAGTACTTTCCCTCTACATTACAGTTCCTCTAAACTCTCTCTCTCTTTTGTGAGCATGGTGTATATGTGTGTGTGCTCATTAGAGAAAGTATTATATTGCCTTTATTCTTAAACCTCTTTTTGTCATCTCTCTCCCAACTAGCAACCTTTACAGCTTCAAACTACTTTTAATTCCAAACTACTTTTAATTCCCCCACAGCCTTGTTAGTTTGCTTTTGTTCATATGCCTTTGTCATTTGGGAAGAGCCACCATAATATTTGCAACTACTGTGTATATCTTGATTACTGTACGTTCAATAAAATGTCCCCTTTTAAAGAGTTCTGTGTAAACTCTATGTGAATACAAGTTTTTGAGTCCAATTTATCTGACACACTACTTGCCAAAGTTGCAAAATCCCTGATAGGCATACATATTCAGAACACGCATGCTTGCATTCATTTGTTCTGCAGGTATATCTGGTAAAAGAACTGAAAGCATCCCTGTTCATGTCCCCAATCTTCACCAACATGGAAATGGCTCTCTGTGTGTGGACTCAACTGTTTAGATGGTAGATTTGGGAGATAACATCAATAAATATATCTACAGAGATGTAGCTATGCAAGACCCAGCTTATTGAGTCCAACAGACAGTTCCTTTCTTGCTTGAACTGAGTTTTTCCCTACTCATTTCTACAATGAACTATGAAAAAACACTTTACTCTTATTAATGACAGGCTACTGTTCAAATCATAGTTTGGAGACAGTATTATTTTATTTCTTTTAGACAAATGAGATCAGAAACACTGCTACCAATTACAACTTGTCTTTGAAGTTGTCAGACAGATAGTGTTTTTAAAAGGACATAATTAAAGTTGCTTTCATTAGCTCAAAGCCATTACTGTAACATTAAAATGCAATCTTAATAAGCTGATTAGTTAAGCAATTACAACACTTGCTGTTGTTTAAAGTTATTCTAGATTGCTTTTGCCAATCCAACTTGGTTGTTTGCCCTGTCAAAAATGCTGTAGTATTCTCTTATGAACACATCTCCTAGGATCCAGAGGTCTCCAGATGTGTTTTGGAAACCACTATCACACATTCCTTCTGACTCCTAAAGGAAAGGAAAGGAAAGGAAAATCATTAGATACAGTTGACTGTAAATATTATCAACTAAAAATCAATTTTGGTAAGAATGGATAGGGTAACATTCACATACAAGTTTATTTCTCTTGAACAAACCCTAGTGCAAGTGAATTGTTTGCAACATTCTCTACATTCAGTTGAAATTACTTCTATACCCTCTAGGCAGCAGATCCTGTCTGATCTTGGAAGCTAAGCAGGGTCAGCCTTGGTTAGTGTTTGGATGGGAGACCACCAATGAATATTGCAGGATCATTTCATTCAGTCATATAACACAGAAACATCAAAACAAGTTGTGAAAAAACCACACATGATGGGAAAAAATCTGATGTCATTTTTGGATTTAGAATGCCAAATTTCTATAAAACAAGCATATATTTTAAAAAGTTTTTATGACCTCAGTTTTTCAGGCTTGTGTAATTCAGTAATTTATGCACATACATTACGGATTATTTTTTTTAATAATCATTTGTGCTGGTTTTAATCATTTGTAAATCCTCTTGCATCCTGGGATCGGGGAATGGAAGGCAGGATATAAATGAATAAAATAATAATCTGTAGGAGTGGTGGGCCATGGAGGCTAGTGGCTCCAATGTCAGCATCAGGGGAATGTGACTCCACTGCAGTTTTCAATCTAAAAAAGCTACAAAGGAGCTATCCAAGGTGCTGACAACAGGCTCTGTGCTTTTAAACTTCAGCATAGAGCCAGTGTAGCATAGTGGTTGAGTGCTGGAGTATGACTCTGATGACCAGGGTTCAATTCCCAGTTTGGCCAAGAAACCCACTGCATGACTGTGGGCAAATTATTTGCTCTCAGCCTCAGGGGAAGGCAATGACAAACTTCCTCTGAACAAATTTTGCCAAGAAAACACCATGAAAATGCCTTAGAGTCACCATAAGTCAGAAATGACTTGAAGGCACACAACAACAACAATAAAACAAGGAGTTTTGGTATTGGAGCCACCAACTCCTCATAATGGTGAGATTGGTTTTGCAATGTCATTGTTGTGTCTGCAATGTCATTGTCATATTCTGGATGTTGATATCTCTTACATGCATGAATAAGAAAGACATTATCATCAAGCATCATCATGCTTAGCAAGTCCATGGCAAAAATGGCAGGAATGCTGAAGGTCTCAGTAGTGTTAAATTAGGTTTTGTTTCTACTCTTATGTTCTTATGGCTTCTCACCATGTGCATTTATGGCTATGTACAATGGTGAAACAAAACTCATCTGCCTGGTGTCATACTTTTACTATATTGAATGCATGCAATATATATTTCTGTTTATGTTATTGCTGCATCTTGGTTACATCCCTCCCTTTTCTATATACAGGAGTAAGGAATACTGTGATTCCTCCAAATCTTTTGGGCAACAATTCCAATCATGCATTACAACTGGTCATACTGATGGGGGTTCTGGATGCTGAAGTCCAAAATGCTAAGAGGACAAAGGGTAACCCTCTAAATTTAGCACTAGCAATCCCAGCATCCATATATTGGCTAAAACATAATCCAACCATATCAACCACAGATTTCCCACCCTAGAGCAGACAAGGGACAGGATGCCATGTTATCTTTTCTTCCTTTTCTTTTAATGTTATTGCAGAATTAAAGCTGATGTGTTAGGAGAAGAGCACAGGGAGTTTGACATTTCACAGTCCTCTCTAGATTGTGTCATTCCTTCAAAGAGGAACTGATGGAGGGAGGAAGCATTACTTGTTTCCACATTCTGACTTCTTAATAAACATTTACAACATTTGCATGTTGCCTGGAGTCAGATGACTCAAGAACGAGGGAAGTGTGAGAATTTTAACTTCGTAGTTACAAGCAGCATACTTTTGCATGTTATTTGGTTGCTCCTGTTTGCAGCAAGCTCAGCTAAACAAACCACAAAGCTTTGCTCCATGGTGTGCTAAATAAGCATCACATCTGAACACATGCTCAGCTTCCTCTCTTGTGGTTTATCTCCAACTAAACTAGAGAGCATGGCATAGTGGTTTAAGTGTTGGACTACAACTCTGGAAAACAGGGTTCGATTTCCTGCTCGGCTATGAAACCCATCAGGTGATCTTGGGCAAGTCACATGCTCTCAGCCTCAGGGGAAGGCAATGGCAAACTTCCTCCAAGCAAATCTTGCCAAGAAAACCCTGTGATGAGTTCACCTTAGGGTTGCCATAGGTCAGAATTGACTTGGGGAATACAACTACAACAAACTAGAGAAGAAAACAAACAAATCCTGGATCTCTACTCTGGTTTATTGGGAGAAAAATGTACCAGAGAGGAAGCTGTGCCCATGTTCAGCTATCACCTTAAACAAACCACAAAACAAAACTCTGTAGTTTGTTTTGCTTCTCCCACTACAAGTGAGACATACAAATAGGACATGCCAACAAACCCAGTTCTTGCAAGGTTCTGGCTTATCGTATTGCCTGAACCCATCCATAGCTTGACCTCAAGTACTAGGTCTTTGATAGAATGTGCAATACAGTAACCCCTCCCAATTTGCAGGGGATCCGTTCTGCCCTCCCCCCCACAAAAATGGTGACTCGCAAATATTTCAGCCCCATTAAAAATAATGGTGTGCACACCCATGGTGTGCATGCAGGGCCTCATGTGGGTGCACACCATTTTGTCCCTCCCCACTTGTTCCTCCCATAAAGAGGAAGATCATGGACTCAAAGTCTGCAAAAATGGAGGGACGACTTTACAAGACCACATGATGCTTATCATAAGAACAGATTTTGTACCCTGATAGGGCAAATCGTGTTTTAAAAAGACAGGAAATAGCTGTCACTGGTACATTGAATTCTCATTTTGTAGGAATCAGGTTGTTCCTCAACAGAACAGTATTATCTTTTGAATTTGGGTTGGCTTTTCTCCTATAAAGCAGGCAAGTATCAAATGTGACCTATTCTGCATATCTAAAATTGGCCAAGATCCCATGCTGGGAGATGAATTATAAAATTCCATATAGGCAGAACTACAACACATCTCCTCCTCACTTTCTCCCTTCAAAACCCTTCAAAACCAGCTGTTCTCTGTTGCAGTCCGCTATGGCCATTTCCTGACCAGAGAAGAGCAAGAAAGCAGAAGAGAAGCATCCAGCTCTTCTCCTATAACACAGAAACAGGCATCCTCTAGGACCCCCCCTCCCGGCAATCCCACAGAGGTCCACCCAGAGGACCAGAGGTAGATGCTGCTCCACCATCGTCTCCTTACTCTCCACCAGCCAGTAAAAGCTGTGTTAGGAGAATTCGTCAGCTAAAAGGTGGGTTTGGAGAGAATGTGGTCATTCCATGATCAATAAAGGGATTAGACCTCTGCAATGTCCGAAGAGTAAGTTATACAGGCGTAAATTGGAATTACCTCTGTGTAACTTGCTAACAGAATACCAGCCAGTATTTCTTCTATTCTTCTATTTTTGAGCTCATGTGTTAATAACCATTCTGCAATTTTAGGTGACTGTCCTATTGCCCTGTCTAACTTTGGAGGGGAGGGTGAAGGCAGAAGCTTGGGAAAACAGCCACAGGTGCTGAAGTGATACGGTGTGCATGTGATGGTGGGGAGTGACAACAGTAAAAACCATTTCTGTAAGATGATTAAACTGTCTTGCTGGTTCTAGAGCTGCTTAGGAGCTAGCAAAGCAGTTTTCTCTCCAGACAGAGACAGTGTTGTTCTTTTGCCATCCCTATGCACCACTTGAAAAAGTGACTTATGAAAGCAGAGGGACTTACGGAAGCAGTTCACCAACAAGATCACAGCTGCATTTACCTAGAATACTTTTAAACTTGTGAGGTGTATCCACACTGCACAATTACAGATGTTTGATATCACTTTAACTGCTATTAATCCATCCTAAGGAATCCTGGGATTTGTAGTTTGGTGAGGGACTTAGAATTCCCTAGTATGCTCTTACATTGTACCATGAGAGCAGCTAGTTCTTTCACCAAAACACAAATCCCAGGATTACATTAAAAGGGGGGTGACAGCAAAATGTGTACCAGACTGTTATAATTAAGTAATGTGGATACACGTTTTATCGAGGTAACAAATACAATTTCACATTTATTGTGTACCGTCAGAGTATAGGCTGCTGGAGTCAGAGGAAACTCAATTCCATTGATCACAAAAATGACGTCAGGCATATTGGAGAGGTTGTTGCAGTTGATCTCATACTGCAAGACATTAAAAAAAACAGCATCTTTGAGTTCTTATTACGAAGGAGCAATGAGACTAACAGTAGCAGACCTTTAATTGATAAGAAATGCACTGGGTTTGTCCCAGAGGTGAACAGGGAATCTCATGGGAGCAGAACTGACAGCTCACACAATATCTTTAATATTCTGGAATTTAGGATAGCCATTCAGAATGAGCTCAAGACGTTTTTGGCCTGAACAGACTGCCAGAAATAATCCATCTTGAGACCACCCTGGCTCAGTGCTAGGGAATCATGGGAACTGTAGTTTATTGTAGCACCAGAGCTCTCTGACAGAGAATGCTCAATGTCTCAGAAAAGCTACAATTCCCATGATTCCCTAGCATTGAACCAGGACAGTTAAAGTGGTCTCAAGCTGGATTATTTCTGGCAGTCTGTTCAGCTGCCTGAAACAGAGCAGCAAAGCCAACCACCCACACCCAGGAAAGAAACGTATTTTCCAGTCTGAGCTAAGTTATTTTGTAAACTGAATAGGAAGAAGTAGACAAGTGCCTGTCCCCTCTCCTTTGCAATAAACATTTAAACCTGAACCCAAGTATAAATCTTGGCTAGAGTAGATCCATTGAAAAAATGGAATTCACATCAGTGTTGATTTATCATTCAGCAATTGATTCCATGGCTCTGCTCCAACTGGGATTAACTCTTAATCTTTTTCTTTCAATTATACCCCAAATCACTTGCCTGAGACTACCAGTTCATTTAGCTTAATGTTAAGGCAAGCCCTGTGTCCAGTGTAGGGATGGAAAGAAAATTCAAACATGTTTGAAAAATGGTTAAAACGAAAAGAAAGGAGTTTTCAAGTGTTGGGAAACCCTGATTAAGAGAACCCAGAACTGATGTGAATTTTTCACATTTTCTGCATATGTGGATTTTGTGTAGAATAAGTCACCAAGGAAACATAATTTTCTCCACAGAAACTAGTGTGTGATTATGTGCATATGTGTGTGTATATATAATATTATTTTTATATTTTATATATATTTTCTAGTAAAGGTAAAGGTATTCCCCATTGACAAGGCTGTCAAGTTGTGTCTGACCTTAGGGGACAGTGCTCATCTCCATTACTAAGCCAAAGAGCCAGCGTTGGCAGAGACTACTCTGTGATCCTGTGGCCAGCATGATTGCACAGAACGCTGTTTACCTTCCCACCAAAGTGGTACCTGTATATCTACTTGCATTTGCATGCTTTCGAACTGCTAGGTTGGCAGAAGCTAGGACAAGTGACAGGAGCTCATCCCATCATGCAGCACCCAGGCCTCAAACTGCCAACCTGATGATCTTGCAATCAACAGAGTCAGCATCTTAACCACTTGAGCCACTGCATCCCTTATATATTTTCTTCTATATTATTATTATTATTATTATTATTATTATTATTATTATTATTATTTGTTCAGAAAATGCTATTTTCTGTGAAAAAATACCACACTCATATTTGGCACAGAGTAAATCTTGAACTATGGATACATTTTGGAAACTGCTCATTTCTCACAGTGAGAAGACTTTCCTAGAATGGGAAGAAAATTGCTAAAATTAGTCACTGCTTCTTTTAGGA